CTCTGGTCTCTCTGGTCTCTCTCTGGTCTCTCTCTGGTCTCTATTCGGTCTCTATCCGGTCTCTCTCTGGTCTTTCTCCGGTCTCTCTCTGTTCTCTCTCTGGTCTCTCTCTGGTCTCTTTCCGGTCTCCCTCCGGTCTCTCTCTGTTCTCTCTCTGGTCTCTTTCCGGTCTCTCTCCGGTCTCTCTGGTCTCTCTCTGTTCTCTCTCCGGTCTCTCTCTCTGGTCTCCCTCTGGTCTCCCTCTGGTCTCCCTCTGGTCTCCCTCTAGTCTCTCTCTGGTCTCTCTCTGGTCTCTCTCTGTGGTGGGTGGGTCCACAGGAGGTGGGGCCACAGGAGGACCTGCCCATTCGGGCTGAGCCCTGGGCCCCGTGGGCTAAGGCCCGGCCTCCAGACACTCGAGCCTCAACCCCAGGCCTGGCTCCTGGGTGGGGCCGATGGGAGACCCAGGCAACAGAGGTCCCAGGATCATCTGAGTCTAACTCCTCCACAGTCCAAGGGGAGGAGACCGCGGGGAAGACCCAGGACAGAGGGACTTAGTCATCTGGGGTCCCCCAGATGAGCTGGAGAAGTGTGTGAAAAAAATGTTGAAATCAGTTTTTCAGACCGTAAAGTGACACCCTCTTTCCCCTCCCCTCTCTCCCCTCTCCCCTCTCCCCTCTCCTCTCTCCCCTCTCCCCTCTCCCCTCTCTCCCCTCTCCCCTCTCCTCTCTCCTCTCTCCTCTCTCTCCCCTCTCTCCTCTCTCCTCTCTCCCCTCTCCTCTCTCCTCTCTCCTCTCTCCTCTCTCTCCCCTCTCTCCTCTCTCTCTCCTCTCTCCTCTCTCCTCTCTCCTCTCTCTCCCCTCTCTCCTCTCTCCTCTCTCCTCTCTCCTCTCTCTCTCCTCTCTCCTCTCTCTCCCCTCTCTCCTCTCTCCTCTCTCTCCCCTCTCTCCTCTCTCTCCTCTCTCCTCTCTCCTCTCTCCTCTCTCCTCTCTCTCTCCTCTCTCCTCTCTCTCCCCTCTCTCCTCTCTCTCCCCTCTCTCCTCTCTCCCCTCTCTCCTCTCTCCTCTCTCCTCTCTCTCCCCTCTCTCCTCTCTCCCCTCTCTCCTCTCTCCTCTCTCCCCTCTCCCCTCTCCTCTCTCCCCTCTCTCCCTCTCTCCCCTCTCCCCTCTCCCCTCTCTCCTCTCTCCTCTCTCCTCTCTCCACTCTCCTCTCTCCTCTCTCCACTCTCCTCTCTCCTCTCTCCCCTCTCCTCTCTCTCCCCCTCTCCCCTCTCTCCTCTCTCCTCTCTCCTCTCTCCTCTCTCCACTCTCCTCTCCCCTCTCTCCTCTCTCTCTCCTCTCTCCCCTCTCTCCTCTCCCCTCTCTCCACTCTCCACTCTCCTCTCTCCTCTCTCCACTCTCCTCTCCCCTCTCTCCTCTCTCCCCTCTCCCCCTCTCTCCTCTCTCCCCTCTCTCCACTCTCCTCTCTCCTCTCTCTCTCTCTCCCCTCTCCTCTCTCCCCTCTCCTCTCTCCCCTCTCCCCTCTCTCCACTCTCCACTCTCCTCTCTCCTCTCTCCTCTCTCCACTCTCCTCTCCCCTCTCTCTCTCCTCTCTCCCCTCTCTCCTCTCCCCTCTCTCCACTCTCCTCTCTCCTCTCTCCACTCTCTCCCCTCTCCACTCTCTCCTCTCTCCTCTCTCCCCTCTCTCCTCTCTCCTCTCTCCTCTCCCCTCTCTCTCCTCTCTCCTCTCTCCACTCTCCTCTCCCCTCTCTCCTCTCTCTCCCCTCTCTCCTCTCTCCCCTCTCTCCTCTCTCCTCTCTCCTCTCCCCTCTCTCCCCTCTCTCCCCTCTCACCCCTCTCCTCTCTCCTCTCTCCTCTCTCCCCTCTCCCCTCTCCTCTCTCCCCTCTCTCCCCTCTCCCCAGCTCGGTCCTCAGTTCCTCAGTGATGAGGAGGTGATGCTCCTGGTCTCCTCCAAACACATCCCGTCGTACAAACTGGAGTCTGCTCTGGAGCGTCCAGAGAGAGGCGTGTCCATCCGGAGACAGATGATCTCGTCCAAACTGCCCTGTCCCACCGCCCTGTCCTCGCTGCCCTACGCCAACTATGACTACTCCAAGGTACAAACTGGTCTCTCTCTGGTCTCTCTCTTGGTCTCTCTCTGGTCTCTCTCTAGTCTCTCTTTGGTCTCTCTCTGGTCTCCCTCTGGTCTCCCTCTGGTCTCTCTCTGTTCTCGCTCTCTCGATAGAAGGCTTCTTCTATCTGCAGAGAGAAGAAGAAGCTGTAACACCTTCCTCCCTCTCTGCAGGTGATGGGTGCGTGCTGTGAGAATGTGATTGGCTACATGCCGGTCCCGGTGGGTGTGGCCGGGCCCCTGCTTCTCGATGGGAGACAGTTCCAGGTCCCTCTGGCCACGACCGAAGGCTGCCTAGTCGCCAGCACCAACCGAGGCTGCCGCGCCATTGCCGTGAGTCATAACACTACATGGACTTAAGACAGAGACCAGGCCAAAATACCTCCCTCTGGTCCTCTCTGGTCTCTTTGTCTGGTCCCTGGTCTCTGGTCCCTGGTCTCTGGTCCCTCGTCCCTCTCTCTGGTCTCTGGTCCTTGGTTCCTCTCTCTGGTCTCTGGTCTCTGGTCCCTGGTCCCTCTCTCCTGGTCTCTCTCTGGTCCCTGGTGCCTTTCTCTGGTCTCTGGTCCCTGGTCCTTCTCTCCTGGTCTCTCTCTGGTCCCTGGTGCCTCTCTGGTCTTTGGTCTCTGGTCCCTAGTCCCTCTCTCTGGTCTCTGGCCTCAGTCTGGTCTCTGTCTCTGGTCCCTGGTCTCTCTCTGGTGTCTAAGGCTCTCTCCCACAGATGTCTCTCTCTCTCTGGTCTCTCTGGTCTCTCTCTGGTCTCTCTCTCTGGTGTCTTAACGCTCTCTCCCACAGATGTCTGGAGGGGCCCACAGCTGTATCCTGGGGGACAGTATGACCCGGGGGCCCCTGGTCAGACTGCCCTCTGCCTGTGAAGCTGCAGAAGTCAAAGCTTTTCTGGAATCAGACGAAGGTTTCAGACTCATGAAGGAGGCCTTCGACCACAGCAGCCGGTCAGTCCTCTCTGGTCTCTCTCTGGTCTCTCTCTGGTCTCTCTCTGGTCTCTCTCTGGTCTCTCTCTGGTCTCTCTCTGGTCTCTCTCTGGTCTCTCTCTGGTCTCTCTCTCTGGTCTCTCTCTCTGGTCTCTCTCTGGTCTCTCTCTGGTCTCTTTCTCTGGTCTCTCTCTGGTCTCTCTCTTTCTGGTCTCTCTCTGGTCTCTCTCTGGTCTCTCTTTGGTCTCTCTCTGGTCTCACTCTGGTCTTTCTCATGCTGGTCCTATGGTCTCCACAGATTTGCTCGTCTTCAGAAGCTGCTGGTGGCTTTAGCCGGAAAGAACCTGTACATCCGCTTCCACTCTCAGACCGGAGACGCCATGGGCATGAACATGATCTCTAAGGTAAGACCAGAGAGAGATCAGAGAGAGACCAGAGAGAGACCAGAGAGAGACCAGAGAGAGAGACCAGAAAGAGAGACCAGAAAGAGACCAGAGAGAGACCAGAGAGAGACCAGAGAGAGACCAGAGAGAGACCAGAGAGAGACCAGAGAGAGACCAGAGAGAGACCAGAGAGAGACCAGGGAGAGACCAGGGAGAGACCAGGGAGAGACCAGGGAGAGACCAGAGAGAGAGACCAGGGAGAGAGACCAGGGAGAGAGACCAGGGAGAGAGACCAGGGAGAGACCAGGGAGAGACCAGGGAGAGACCAGGGAGAGACCAGAGAGAGAGACCAGGGAGAGAGACCAGGGAGAGAGACCAGGGAGAGAGACCAGAGAGAGACTAGGAGAGGCTAGAGAGAGACCAGAGAGACCAGAGAGAGAGACCAGAGAGAGAGACTAGGAGAGGCTAGAGAGAGACCAGAGAGACTAGGAGAGACCAGAGAGAGAGACCAGAGAGAGACCAGGGAGAGACCAGAGAGAGACCAGGGAGAGACCAGGGAGAGACCAGAGAGAGACCAGGGAGAGACTAGGAGAGACTAGGAGAGACCAGGGAGAGAGACAGGGAGAGAGACCAGAGAGACTAGGAGAGACCAGAGAGAGACCAGAGAGAGACCAGGGAGAGACTAGGAGAGACCAGGGAGAGAGACCTAGGAGAGACCAGGGAGAGACTAGGAGAGACTAGGAGAGACCAGGGAGAGAGACAGGGAGAGAGACCAGAGAGACTAGGAGAGACCAGAGAGAGAGACCAGAGAGAGAGACCAGGGAGAGACTAGGAGAGACCAGGGAGAGAGACCTGGGAGAGAGACCAGGGAGAGACTAGGAGAGACCAGGGAGAGAGACCAGAGAGAGACCAGAGAGCTTTAAGGTTTATCAGTCAAAGTAACATTGTGTTTGGCTGGTGCGTCCCATATGGTTCACTCCTCTCTCTCTCTATGTCCAGGGCACAGAGCAGGCCCTGAGCAGCCTGCAGCAGCTCTACCCCGAGCTCCAGGTGGTGGCTCTGAGCGGCAACTTCTGCACCGACAAGAAGCCGGCGGCGGTGAACTGGATCGAGGGCCGCGGGAAGTCTGCGGTGTGCGAGGCCACGATACCAGCGAGAGTGGTGCGAGAGGTGAGAGCTGCAACCATGGAACACACAGACCTGCAGCTGGTTTTAGGTCCATACAGGCTCAGGACACATCCCCCCACCCCTTCTGTCGCAATATCATGTTACCATTGGAAATATGATAAGTTAGAGTTTAAGTACATCGCTGCAACATGTTACAAGTACATAAAACCTTCTCTCTCTCTCTCTGTCTCTGGTCCCTGGTCTCTCTCTGGTGTCTAACGCTCTCTCCCACAGATGTCTCTCTCTCTCTGGTCTCTCTCTGGTCTCTCTCTGGCCTCTCTCTGGTCTCTCTCTGGTCTCTCTCTGGTCCCTCTCTGGTCCCTCTCTGGTCTCTCTCTCTGGTCTCTCTCTGGTCTCTCTCTGGTCTCTCTCTCTGGTCTCTCTCTCTGGTCTCTCTCTCTGGTCTCTCTCTGGTCTCTCTCTGGTCTCTCTCTCTGGTCTCTCTCTGGTCTCTCTCTGGTCTCTCTCTCTGGTCTCTCTCTGGTCTCTCTCTCTGGTCTCTCTCTGGTCTCTCTATGGTCTCTCTGGTCTCTCTCTGGTCTCTCTCTGGTCTCTCTCTGGTCTCTCTCTCTGGTCTCTCTCTGGTGTCTCTCTGGTCTCTCTCTCTGGTCTCTCTCTCTGGTCTCTCTCTGGTCTCTCTCTGGTGTCTCTCTGGTCTCTCTCTGGTCTCTCTCTGGTCTCTCTCTGGTCTCTCTCTCTGGTCTCTCTCTCTGGTCTCTCTCTCTGGTCTCTCTCTATGGTCTCTCTCTCTGGTCTCTCTCTCTGGTCTCTCTCTCTGGTCTCTCTTTGGCCTCTCTCTGGTCTCTCTCTGGTCTCTGTAGTTTCTCTTTGGTCTCTCTGTAGTCTCCCTCTGGTCTCTGGTCTCTCTCACCTTGTGTTTCCTGGTACAGGTGTTGAAGACCAGCACTCAGGCTCTGGTAGAAGTGAACATCAATAAGAACCTGGTGGGTTCAGCGATGGCGGGAAGCATCGGAGGATACAACGCCCACGCAGCTAATCTGGTGGCAGCCATCTACATCGCCTGTGGACAGGTGAGGGGGGGGGGCAGGTGGGGGAGGGGGAGGTGACGGGGGTGAGGGAGGGAGAGGTGACGGGGTGAGGGAGGGGTATGGACAGGTGAGGGAGGGGAGTGGTGTGGACAGGTGAGGGAGGGGGGCATGGGGGACAGGTGAGGGAGGGTGAGGGAGGGGTGTGGACAGGTGAGGGAGGGGGGGATGGTGGGCAGTTGAGGGAGGGGTGTGGACAGGTGAGGGAGGGGTGTGGACAGGTGAGGGAGGGGGGGATGGTGGGCAGGTGAGGGAGGGGAGCATTGTTAGAACTGTGTGGCTCAGTATTTGTACTTACGTATATGTCTGTGTCTCTCCCTCTGTGTCTCTCCCTCTGTGTCTCCCTCTGTGTCTCCCTCTGTGTCTCTCCCTCTGTGTCTCTCCCTCTGTGTCTCTCCCTCTGTGTCTCTCCCCCTGTCTCTCCCCCTCTCTCTGTAGGACCCGGCTCAGACCGTGGGCAGCAGTAACTGTATCACTCTGATGGAGGCGGCAGGTCCCTCTGGAGACGACCTGTACATCAGTTGCACCATGCCGTCTATAGAGCTGGGGACTGTGGGGGGGGGCACCAACCTGCCCCCCCAGCAGGCCTGTCTGCAGGTACCAGCCTCGTTACCATAGCAACACCCTGTTTGCTGCTGTGGGGTTCCCCAGGGGTCGATCCTCGGTCCACTTTTCTTGATATTCAGCTCCTTCTGGGTCGTTGTCAGTCTCTAGAAACAGGATGAGAGAAACCTCACTAACGAACAGATAATCAGTGTGTTATTCATAGTTAATTAGTTCTTAATGCAGAGTGTGTTGTGTGTGTATGTTGTGTGTATAATGTGTGTTGTGTGTGTGTTGTGTAGATGCTGGGCGTACAGGGCCCTAACCCTAACCCAGGAGAGAACTCTCGGCAGTTGGCCCGACTGGTCTGTGCCACGGTCCTCGCAGGAGAACTGTCCCTGATGTCAGCTCTGGCAGCGGGTCACCTGGTGAAGAGTCACATGACCCACAACAGGTACGAGAACCAGGGACCAGAGGGAGACCAGAGGGAGACCAGAGGGAGACCAGGGGGAGACCAGGGGGAGACCAGGGGGAGACCAGAGGGAGACCAGAGGGAGACCAGGGGGAGACCAGGGGGAGACCAGGGGGAGACCAGGGGGAGACCAGGGGGAGACCAGAGGGAGACCAGAGGGAGACCAGAGGGAGACCAGAGGGAGACCAGAGGGAGACCAGAGGGAGACCAGAGGGAGACCAGAGGGAGACCAGAAGGAGACCAGAAGGAGACCAGAGGGAGACCAGAGGGAGACCAGAGGGAGACCAGAGGGAGACCAGGGGGAGACCAGGGGGAGACCAGGGGGAGACCAGGGAGACCAGAGGGAGACCCAGGACACAGAGGGTGTCTCTGGCCTGGGAACGCCTCAGGATTCCCCCAGATTTGCCGCTGTGACCCGGCCTCGGATGAAGCGGAAGAAAACAGAAGCACAGCTGAATAAAGCTGTTCTCTTTGTCTGCAGGTCGAAGGTGAACCTCCAGACCCCAGGGACCTGCACTCAGAACGGGTCCTGAGGAAGACCAGGGACCAGACAGGAGGACCGGGCCCAGAGATGGAGCCACGGAGCAGGGTCTGAGGACCTCAACCAAAGACAATAAAACATTCCATTGAAGCCTTTTCATTTGAGGCTTTTCTTTAAAGTTTATGTTTTCAATGATTTTGTGTCTCGCCCTGAACCACAGACGTGTCAGAGGACTTTACTAAGTTATGGATTCACCAACAGCAGATAATAACAGACACACAGAATGTATGTAGATGCTGTATGTAGACCCAGGACTGAGGCTGTAGACCCAGAACTGAGGCTGTAGACCCATGACTGAGGCTGTAGACCCAGGACTGAGGCTGTAGATCCAGGACTGAGGCTGTAGACCCAGGACTGAGGCTGTAGACCCAGGACTGAGGCTGTAGACCCAGGACTGAGGCTGTAGATCCAGGACTGAGGCTGTAGACCCAGGACTGAGGCTGCTGTAGACCCAGGACTGAGGCTGTAGACCCAGGACTGAGGCTGTCGACCCAGGACTGAGGCTGCTGTAGACCCAGGACTGAGGCTGCTGTAGACCCAGGACTGAGGCTGTAGACCCAGGACTGAGGCTGCTGTAGACCCAGGACTGAGGCTGTAGACCCAGGACTGAGGCTGCTGTAGACCCAGGACTGAGACTGTAGACCCAGGACTGAGGCTGTAGACCCAGGACTGAGGCTGTAGACCCAGGACTGAGGCTGTAGACCCAGGACTGAGGCTGTAGACCCAGGACTGAGGCTGTAGATCCAGGACTGAGGCTGTAGACCCAGGACTGAGGCTGTAGACCCAGGACTGAGGCTGTAGACCCAGGACTGAGGCTGTGGATCCAGGACTGAGGCTGTGGATCCAGGGGACTGAGGCTGTAGACTCAGGACTGAGCTGTAGGCTGCTGCCCTCTGCTGTCTGTGTTAGGTACTACAGTCCTTGTACCCTCGGGCTCAGTGGTCTGTCAGGTGGCGCCACCTCCAGGCCACAGCGGGAACTGCTTCATAATCATTTGTAATTTAGAGACGGAGAAATGTTTTATAAATAATATTTTGGCTCAAATAAAAACAATATATTTTCTATTCTACCGAGTGTACAATGTGTGAGTGAAGGAGGCACACAACACCTTTAAAGCTGGGATACGTAACTTTTAGACTACAACAAAGGAACTTCAAAAGTAGACCAGGGAGAGACCAGAGAGAGACCAGGAAGAGACCAGAGAGAGATCAGAGGGCGACCAGGGAGAGGCCAGAGAGAGACCAGGAAGAGACCAGGGAGAGACCAGAGAAAGAGAGCATGGCAAGAGACCAGAGAGAGACTAGGAGGACCAGAAAGAGACCAGAGAGAGAGAGCATGGAAAGAGACCAGAGAGAGACCAGAGAGAGAGATCAGAAAGAGACCAGAGAGAGACTAGAGGGAGACCAGACAGAGATCATATTGAGACCAAAGAGAGAAAGAGACTATAAATGCTTCTAAAGACTAGAGAAGAGACTTGTATTTAAATATATTTAAATCTTATTTGTTTACACATTTTCATAAATAAACTCGATGTTGAAATATATCAATTCCCTCATAAGTGGGAGCGCATGCTCAGACAGTTGCACTTATCCTTGTGACCAGCAGAGGCAGCAGAGCAAAGACATCAGCTCAGTCCTGCAGCACGCAGCAACAAAGGAAGAAGCAGGTGGCATCCAAATCCAAACCGCAGAACTCCTTAGTCGTCTGTGTTTGCGTCCTTCTCCTCTTCACTCACATGTGCAGCGTCAGATTTAGACAAAAGGAGATTTAAAACATGTTATAAATGTGTTAAATTGATATGTAGCCGTGTTGTGACGTAAAGAGACAGTTTTAAAATAGTAAAGGGAGGAAGAGGAGGAGGAGGAAGAAGTGCAGGCGTTGGAATCGGACGCAGCTCACACAAACACAGGGACTCTCACCGGTCTGTCCTTTCCGTGTTCCTCTCCCTGCTGTCTCCGTCCCCCGCGTCCCAAACAAGGACCGCTGATCGCTGACATGAGTCTCGTGCGCGCGCTCCTGTCCCGGGCGGGTGTGCACGTGAGCAGAGTCCCGCACGCGCAGGTACAGCGTTGACCTCACACATGCTCTTCAGAACACGAAAACGAAAGTAAACGTCTCGAGATTGTTCATGTTTAAAGCTGAGTTCTGTAACTTTAGTCTAAATAACACATGTTTAAAGCTCAGGTCTGTAACTTTAGTCTGAATAACACATGTTTAAAGCTCAGGTCTGTAACTTTAGTCTGAATAACACATGTTTAAAGCTCAGGTCTGTAACTTTAGTCTGAATAACACATGTTTAAAGCTCAGGTCTGTAACTTTAGTCTGAATAACACATGTTTAAAGCTCAGGTCTGTAACTTTAGTCTGAATAACACATGTTTAAAGCTCAGGTCTGTAACTTTAGTCTGAATAACACATGTTTAAAGCTCAGGTCTGTAACTTTAGTCTACTAAAGGGCGGGACCAGGGAAAGTCCAAAGCGAATGCAGCCTGCGAGTGTTGTACCGCATCAAACACTAACTTAAAACACTTTGCACAGAGTCAGTGGGAACAGTGTTTCTCAGGGTCAAGGCTGTCATTGGGAGGTTCGGAGACAGGTTAGATTTGCGGAAAACAAGCCTGGAAGTGGCGACAGGGCACCGCGCCGAGACCTCCAGCCTCTGCTACAGTCTCCGCTAAAATCTCCTCAAATAGTTCCTCCCACAGATGTTTTAGAGAGAGAGCAGGGGGGACGAGAGAGAGAGCAGGGGGACGAGAGAGAGAGAGAGAGACGAGAGAGAGCAGGGGAGACGAGAGAGAGCAGGGGAGACGAGAGAGAGAGCAGGGGAGACGAGAGAGAGAGCAGGGGAGACGAGAGAGAGAGCAGGGGAGACGAGAGAGAGAGCAGGGGAGAGAGAGAGAGCAGGGGAGACGAGAGAGAGAGCAGGGGAGACGAGAGAGAGCAGGGGAGACGAGAGAGAGCAGGGGAGACTAGAGAGAGAGCAGCGGAGACGAGAGAGAGAGAGAGCAGGGGAGACGAGAGAGAGCAGGGGAGACGAGAGAGAGCAGGGGAGACGAGAGAGAGCAGCAGGAGACGAGAGAGAGCAGGGGAGACGAGAGAGAGAGCAGGGGAGACGAGAGAGAGAGCAGGGGAGACGAGAGAGAGAGAGAGGGGAGACGAGAGAGAGCAGGGGAGACGAGAGAGAGAGCAGGGGAGACGAGAGAGAGAGCAGGGGAGACGAGAGAGAGCAGGGGAGACGAGAGAGAGCAGGGGAGACGAGAGAGAGCAGGGGAGACGAGAGAGAGAGAGCAGGGGAGACGAGAGAGAGAGCAGGGGAGACGAGAGAGAGAGGGGAGACGAGAGAGAGAGCAGGGGAGACGAGAGAGAGAGCAGGGGAGACGAGAGAGAGAGCAGGGGAGACGAGAGAGAGAGCAGGGGAGACGAGAGAGAGCAGGGGAGACGAGAGAGAGAGCAGGGGAGACGAGAGAGAGAGCAGGGGAGACGAGAGAGAGCAGGGGAGACGAGAGAGAGCAGGGGAGACGAGAGAGAGCAGGGGAGACGAGAGAGAGAGCAGGGGAGACGAGAGAGAGAGCAGGGGAGACGAGAGAGAGCAGGGGAGACGAGAGAGAGAGCAGGGGAGACGAGAGAGAGAGCAGGGGAGACGAGAGAGAGAGCAGGGGAGACGAGAGAGAGAGCAGGGGAGACGAGAGAGAGCAGGGGAGACGAGAGAGAGAGCAGGGGAGACGAGAGAGAGAGCAGCGGAGACGAGAGAGAGAGCAGCGGAGACGAGAGAGAGCAGGGGAGACGAGAGAGAGAGCAGCGGAGACGAGAGAGAGAGCAGGGGAGACGAGAGAGAGAGCAGCGGAGACGAGAGAGACGACGAGAGGAGAGCAGGGGAGACGAGAGAGAGAGCAGAGAGCGGGAGACGAGAGAGAGCAGCGGGAGCGAGACGAGAGAGAGAGAGCAGGGGAGACGAGAGAGAGAGCAGGGGAGACGAGAGAGAGAGCAGCGGAGACGAGAGAGAGAGCAGCGGAGACTAGAGAGAGAGCAGCGGAGACGAGAGAGAGAGCAGCGGAGACGAGAGAGAGAGCAGCGGAGACGAGAGAGAGAGCAGCGGAGACTAGAGAGAGAGCAGGGGAGACTAGAGAGAGAGCAGGGGAGACGAGAGAGAGAGCAGGGGAGACGAGAGAGAGCAGGGGAGACGAGAGAGAGCAGGGGAGACGAGAGAGATTTTTTACTATTTCCCTGAACAGCATGTTACAGTACGACTTCTCTTTGTGTGTTCATGTCCAAGTGATTTAAATGTCTCTCAGTTAAAAACATACAAAAAAATAATGAAAATTCTAAGATCAACAATTTCCAACGCCATATGACGTCATAATATGCTAATTAGATGGGTACACTTATTCTCTACATAAACTTTAGACCATCCTTAATATTTTTCTAATTTACAGAAAGTCTTTATCTCTTATCACTTTTAAGTTATAGCCTTTTGAAATGAAAATGTCAAAATCGGCCCCCGGCCCCCGGCCCCCGGCCCCCACACATTGCTTTCAAATCTGTGGGAAACACTGATATATATTGTTATTATCCTCCAGGTCCGGACTCGTGGTTCCTGGTCTCGGCCTCAGGACCAGAGGAGTCCGTGTCGCTCTCAGGTCAGAGACATTAAAGCTCGGGTCTCTGGTTTTCTGAACGTCAAACTCCAGGGAAGTGCGGCAACAGCAGCGGCATGGACCAGAGGCCTGAGCACCAGTCCAGAACAAGGTCCATCCAGGTGAGACCAGAGAGAGACCAGAGAGAGACCAGAGAGAGGCAAGAGAGAGACCAGAGAGAGACCAGAGAGAGACCAGGGAGAGACCAGAGAGAGACCAGAGAGAGACCAGAGAGAGACCAGAGAGAGACCAGAGAGAGACCAGAGAGAGACCAGAGAGAGACCAGAGAGAGACCAGAGAGAGACCAGAGAGAGACCAGAGAGAGGCAAGAGAGAGACCAGAGAGAGACCAGAGAGAGACCAGAGAGAGACCAGAGAGAGACCAGAGAGAGACCAGAGAGAGACCAGAGAGAGACCAGAGAGAGACCAGAGAGAGACCAGAGAGAGACCAGAGAGAGACCAGAGAGAGAGACCAGAGACCAGAGAGAGGCCAGAGAGAGGCCAGAGAGAGGCCAGAGAGAGGCCAGAGAGAGGCCAGAGAGAGACCAGAGAGAGACCAGAGAGAGACCAGAGAGAGACCAGAGAGAGACCAGAGAGAGACCAGAGATAGACCAGAGAGAGACCAGAGAGAGACCAGAGAGAGGCAAGAGAGAGACCAGAGAGAGACCAGAGAGAGGCCAGAGAGAGACCAGAGAGAGACCAGAGAGAGACCAGAGAGAGACCAGAGAGAGACCAGAGAGAGACCAGAGAGAGAGACCAGAGAGAGAGACCAGAGAGAGGCCAGAGAGAGGCCAGAGAGAGGCCAGAGAGAGGCCAGAGAGAGGCCAGAGAGAGGCCAGAGAGAGGCCAGAGAGAGGCCAGAGAGAGACCAGAGAGAGAGACCAGAGAGAGACCAGAGAGAGACCAGAGAGAGAGACCAGCGAGAGAGACCAGAGAGAGACCAGAGAGAGAGACCAGAGAGAGACCAGAGAGAGACCAGAGAGAGACCAGAGAGAGACCAGAGATAGACCAGAGAGAGGCAAGAGAGAGACCAGAGAGAGACCAGCGAGAGGCCAGAGAGAGACCAGAGAGAGACCAGAGAGAGGCCAGAGAGAGACCAGAGAGAGACCAGAGAGAGACCAGAGAGAGACCAGAGAGAGACCAGAGAGAGAGACCAGAGAGAGACCAGAGAGAGGCCAGAGAGAGGCCAGAGAGAGGCCAGAGAGAGGCCAGAGAGAGGCCAGAGAGAGGCCAGAGAGAGGCCAGAGAGAGGCCAGAGAGAGACCAGAGAGAGAGACCAGAGAGAGACCAGAGAGAGAGACCAGAGAGAGACCAGAGAGAGAGACCAGCGAGAGAGACCAGCGAGAGAGACCAGAGAGAGAGACCAGAGAGAGACCAGACGCCTCTCACAGAGAGAGGAGAGAGACAGGAGCCTCTCAAAGAGAGAGAGAGAGACAAGGAGCCTCTCACAAAAGAGAGGAGAGACAGGAGCCTCTCACTGAAGAGAGAGAGAGAGGATCCCTCTCCCGAGAGAGAGAAGAACAGGAACCTCTCACAGAGAGAAGAGAACGGAGACCATCTACACAGAGAAGGAGAGAGACAGGAGCCTCTCACAGAGAGAGAGAGACAGGAGCCACTCACAGAGAGAGAGAGAAAACATGGAAGCCTCTCACAGAGAGAGAGAGAAGAGAGAAGAAGAGACAGGAGCCTCTCACAGAGATAGAAGAGGACAGAGCCTCTCACAGAAGAAGAGAGAGAGAGACAGGAGCCTCACACAGCGAGAGAGAGAAGAGGAGAGCAGGAGCCTCTCACAGAGAGAGAGAGAGAGAGAGAGACAGGAGCCTCTCCAAAAAGAGAGAGAGAGAGAAACAGGAGCCTCTCACAAAGATGAGAGAGAGACATGGATCCTCTCACAGAGCGAGAGAGACAGGAGCCTCTCACTGAGAGAGAGAGAGAGAGAGAGAGACAGGAGCCTCTCACAGGAATAGAGAGACAGTGAGGCCTCTCACAAAGAGAGAGAGCAGGAGCCTCTCACTGAGAAAGAGAGAGACAGGAGTCCCCCCCCTACTCACAGAGAAAGAGGACAGGATCCTCTCACAGAGACAGAGAGAGACAGGAGCCCTCACACAGAGAACGAGAGATGACAGGAGCCTCTCACAGAGTAGAAGAGACAGAGCCTCTTCACAAGAGAGAGAGAGAGAGACAGGAGCCTCTCACAAAGAGCACCCGGAGGAACCGATGCAGACACAGGAGAACAGCAAACTCCACTCATAAAGACCGTGGTCCAGGGTTTGTGTTCCCCAGAATCTCACTGTCTCACCTGCAGGTCCCCGCTGTGGACCATGTGGCCACAGCTCGGTCAGTCCATACCTGAACCGGTCCACTGTAGTTCAGGACAATGAAGCCTCAACGGACGATGTCCTGTCCCATCAGATCATGCTGCGTCCCCTCTCACTCAGCGGGGTGGGTGACGGCACATCCCTGTTAAAGCTGAGAGATCTCCCACAGCAGGACCACCCGCCCCCCCACACACATCTGAGGGAAGGGGGTGAGGGACTCTTTATGACCCGTGTCTCCTGAATCACAGAGAGAGTAAACAGAAAGACAGAGAGAGACCAGAGAGAGACCAGGGAGAGTAGATGCAGAGAGATACAAGAAGAGAGCAGAGAGAGAGCAAGAGGAGCAGAGAGAGAGCAGAGAAGAGCAGAGAGAGAGCAGAGAGAGAGCAGAGAGAGAGCAGAGAGAGAGCAGAGAGAGACAAGAGAGAGGCAGAGAGAGAGCAGAGAGACAGCAGAGAGAAGCAGAGAGAGACCAGAGTAGAGAGCAGAGAAGAGAGCAGAGAGAGAGCAGAGAGAGACCAAGAGAGACAAGAGAGAGAGCAGAGAGATCTTTTACTTGTAGGGTCTTTCATATTTGGATTCGGATGTATATGGCGCAAGCTGTGATTAGAATAAAAGGCTTTAAACATCGTGTCATTACTAGTTCCCTTGTCGCCTCCCTCACGCAACTCAATAGATTATATGGGTCCATGTCCGATTACTTTCCCTTGGCTCTAGTTATTGTCCATTCCGGTTATTGATTGATCGAAGCCTCCTGTTCCTTTATTTGGTATGCTAGTTGTCGGCCATTTTCTCTCCATAGTCATAATGTTTATGCCTTAAGCGTGTTAGCAGTCTGGGTCGTTTCAGTAGTGTACATCAAATTCAGTTCTGTCTGCAGAGACTGTCTTTTAATTATACAAGTCAGAAGTGGTAGAAATTTGGTAAAGTCTGTCTGTTTCTACGTTATTTGTTTAATATTTTCACTTTCTTTTTCTCGCTTTTTTTTATTGTTATAACTGCTCCATGAAATTATCTGCCCGCTTAAGTAGGCTTTTTGGGCTTCCCAGAAATGTGCTTTTGATACATCTGGTGTATCATTAGTATTTTGAAATAAATCTAGGTGTTTTCTTTTTCTTCTATTCCTTTTTGTGTCGATTAAGTCCAAGGAATTGTTAAGTCTCCATACCTTTGTTGATTTTGTATCCATAAAGACATTTCAAGGAGTACTGGGACCTATGGGGTCTGACTGGACAATGGCTTTATATTCAGAGCTAGGTACTTTGGTAATAAATCGTGATCAATTAGGAAGAATCAATCCTAGAGTAGGTGATGATTGTACCGGCGAAAAGAATGAATATTTTTTTGTTCGGATTGTAATTCTCTCCAAGGGTCTCTACTTACAGGCATTCATGAAGTTATGAATGGACTTGGCGATTTTGTCAGGGCTGCTGCTCTCGGTGAAGATTTATCCAGTTGTGGGTCGAGTATCAGTTGAAATCTCCGCCAAAAATAACTTTGTGCGGTATCCATGTGAGGTACAGCTGAAAGAAGTGATAACAAAATTGATTGTCGTAAAAATAGGGGATATATATACTGATCATTGTAAATTGGGATGTTATGAAGATTCTGTAACAATAACATACCTGCCTCTTTTTATCTTGAAGTACTTCTTCCATAACAATGAGTATTGATCTTTTTATAATTATTGCAGCACCTCTACTTTTATCGCTATAATGGGAGTGATATATTTGTTCCGATCCATTTTTTACACCGCTTATTGTGATCACCATCCTTCAGATGAGTCTCTTGTAAAAAAACAATGTCTGCACCAAGTTTTTCTAAATGAGCTAGTATATTGCCTCGTTTCACAGTTCCGTTTATACCCTTACAGTTCCAAGTCACAAATTTGACAATGTTTCGTAACACACTCATATTTTGGAAGTACTCACGTTTGCTTTGTAGTCTGGACCCATCCTTGGGGGGAACAAGGGGGAATGGGAAAACATCCATACACATCCACACACACAAAGAAAGAGAAACAAAAAACAGAACATAAACCCACCCATCCCTCTCTGTCTTTCCCCAAATGAAAGACCTGATTGTAAGGACTAACTACTTTAACTGAGAGGAAACTAACTCTCAAAACTTCTCACTAAACTTCGCTATTGGTAAGTAATTAAGAACATTATTTCTATTTTGTTTGTCTCTGGGTCTAACCTAATAAAACTATCTAGGAGCGAGTCAAAAGTAAAGAGGTAAAATAACTACAAATAACTAAAGAGATGTATAATATGTATACATACATGGAAAAATAAATTGGGAGATGTACGTCTGCTATTACGCAGTCACATATCTTAAAATAGAAATAAATAAAAGATTCCTCCCAAGTTATATCAAAAGTATAAACGCCCGAGTAAGATGGTACCTTATACAAAGTTGCAATATTTATATAACACTGTCCGAGATGCCAAACCTCTTTTCTTTCGATTGCATTCAGTCTTTTTGTCTGTCTTGCTCCCAGAGTAGTCCTTTACTTTGTTTACTTGCTTTAGTCGTCTTTATCTCCGTTGGCTGTTGGTGCGATATTACGGATGAACTCCTCCACTGCTTGTGGCTCTGTGAACACGTGCCTGGTTCCTTTCACCGTTATCGTCATCTTCGCTGGGTAATACAGGCTGTATGGGATTCCTGCGTCTCGTAGTTTGGGCTTCACTTGGTTGAATGAGGCTCTGAGGCGGCCCACCTCTGGGGAGATGTCTGGAAAAATATGTACAACGGAACCATCGTAGGAGAGCTTTCCTTTTTCTCTGGAAAGTCTCAAGATTGTTTCTTTCTCTGTGAAGTAATGCATACGGGCAAGAATTGCACGGGGGCGGTCACCTTGTGTTGGTTTTGGGGCTAGGGTTCTGTGTGCCCGGTCGATTGTTGGAGGGGAAGTAAAGTTTTCCGGCCCCAAAACTTGTTGCAGAAAACGCGCTACAAAGTGACGGGGATCACCTCCTTCTGCACCTTCTTTGATCCCGATAATACGTAGATTTTGCCTTCTGCTTCTATTTTCCAAGTCCATGCATTTTTCAGAAACTTTCTTGTACTCTTTTTCCAGCGATCCATGTGCTTTTTCCAGCGTGGTCAATCTGTCGCTGTAATCATTGAGGGTCTGTTCAATCTCAATGTGTGCCCGTTTGATTTCCTCATGGTTGTAATTTAGCCTGCTAGTATGCTCCGATAGCTCTCGTCTCAATGCATCACCATCAGCCTTAGCCTCCTGTCGCAGAGCGGTGATTTCTCTCTGGATATCGGATTTCATTCTCCCCATCTGTGTTTGAATATCCACTGAGTGTTTGCAGTGCGCTCTTCAGAGTTTGTACCGTGAGAGGAGACTCCTCCGGTTGATCCGTGGCTAGCAGTGTAGCTTCCGCCATGTTGCTAACCTCTTCTACGGCCGATTCATGTGCGTTAGCTGGAGTGTTAGCCGAGTCGTTAGCCGATGAGACTCCGATGAGAGTCTGCTGAGTGTATCTTCTTTGGTTTTTTGGTGGCATATCGTAGCTCGCGCAGCCAGTAATTGTTGTAGCAAGTAAAGACTTATTTCTCCGACCCAGAAACTTTTTAATCAATAAATTTACGCGAAGCCGCCGTAGGTGCACTGCTCACTCCATAGGGCAGAAGCGGAAGTCCTCCCAGTATTAATTTTATTTTAATCAACAAATAAAATTATTGATTAAAAAAGACTTGTTACAAAGAGATCTGACATTTAGCATAGCAAGTTTCAAAGTTTCAGTATCAGCGGTTGTGGTCGGCTGATTCTTACACAGAACAAGAATTAGATTTTCATGATTAGACTGACTAACTCCAGATTTTTTTTCTAACCACAGAGAGACCAGAGAGAGACTAGAGAGAGACCAGAGAGAGACCAGAGAGAGACCAGAGAGAGACTAGAGAGAGACCAGAGAAAGACCAGAGAGAGACCAGAGAGAGACCAGAGAGAGACCAGAGAGAGACCAGAGAGAGACCAGAGAGAGACCAGAGAGAGACCAGAGAGAGACCAGAGAAAGACCAGAGGGAGACCAGAGAGAGACCAGAGAAATACCAGAGAGCAACCAGTGAGAGACCAGAGAAAGACCAGTGAGAGACCAGAGAAAGACCAGAGATAGACCAGAGAGAAACCAGAGAGAGACCAGAGAGAGACCAGAGGGAGACCAGAGAGAAACCAGAGAGAGACCAGAGAAAGACCAGAGAAAGACCAGAGAGAAACCAGAGAGACCAGAGAGACCAGAGAGAGACCAGAGAGAGAGACCAGAGAGAGACCAGAGAAAGACTAGAGAGAGACCAGTGAGAGACCAGAGAAAGACCAGAGAGAGACCAGAGAAAGACCAGAGAGAGACCAGTGAGAAACCAGAGAGAGAGACCAGAGGGAGACCAGAGAGAAACCAGAGAGAGACCAGAGAGACCAGAGAGACCAGAGAGAGACCAGAGAGAGAGACCAGAGGGAGACCAGAGAGAGACCAGCGAGAGATTAGAGAGCGACTAAAGAGAGACCAGAGAGAGACCACAGAGAGACCACAGAGAGAGAGACCACAGAGAGACTAGAGAGAACAGAGATCAGAGAGAGACCAGAGCGAGACTAGATAGAGACTAGAGCCAGGCTCTCCAAAATGTGGCTCGGGAGACTGAAGATAGCCCAACGACTAGAAAGAGACTGAAAATAGAGAGGGACCAAAGACCAGAGAAAGACTTAGACTAGAGAGGGACCAAAGAGAGACCAGAGAGAGACCAGAGAGTGACAAGAGAAGGACTAGAGAGAGACTAAAGAGACTAGAGACAAGGGAGAGACTACAGAGAGAGACCACAGACAGAACTGAGACTAGAGAGAGACCAGAGACTACAGAGAGACCAGAGAGAGACCACAGACAGAACTGAGACTAGAGAGAGACCAGAGACTATAGAGAGACTAGACAGAGACCACAGATAGACTAGAGAGAGACTAGAGCATGTGGCTCGGGAGACTAGAAAGAGAGCAAAGACTAGAGAGAGACTAGGGAGAGACTGAAACACCTGGAGATGGGTTCCAGGGCGCTGTACTGCAGCGACCACTGCTCTTGACGTAAGCCGTAAGCCTAAGGGGCGTTCACACCGGACTTAACTTCGGCGTCAAAAGCGTCAGGTTTCCATTGAAAGTGAATGGTGAAGCGCGTCAGGTGAAGCCGAGAGCCCCGGCGTCACTTGACGCGAGTCAAAAGCTTCAAGAGTCGCGCGTACTACGCGCTCACTTGAAGCTTTTGACGCGCGAAACGCTCGCGTATCACAACAATCCCTTTGACGCCGAAGCTGAGCAAAGCTGAGCTTTTGAAGCTTTGACGCGGGCTTCAACCAATCAGGAGAGGAGGAGCAGCAGCAGCAGAGGGTCTGTCTCTGTCATGAAGAGAAGTCATGTATCTGCTGCTGCTGTTTTATTGTCATTATTGTTATTAGTAATATTATTTGTATGAGTAGTAACGTTCTGAGTAACAAAATCATTGTACACATGCTGTGTAGTAAACGTAGTTTATTTAAAATAAGAACAGGCTGACGATGAGTCTGGCTCAGAGCAAGGCAGCTCCGGGCGGGCGAGAGCCGGGGAGAGGCAGGGAGAGCCGGGGAGAGGCGAGCGAGAACCGAGGAGAGGCAGGGAGAGGCAGGGAGAGGCAGGGAGAGGTGAGCGAGAACCGAGGAGAGGCAGGGAGAGGCAGGGAGAGGCAGGGAGAGGCAGGGAGAGGCAGGGAGAGGCAGGGAGAGGCAGGGAGAGGCAGGGAGAGGCGAGAGCCGGGGTTTGAGAACTCAGACTGGCCGAGTGACATGCGGAAGTACCGCTGAAAGCGAAACTCCTCCGTACGCAGCTCCTGGAGTAAATGACGGAACTCTGCAAACACTGCAGCCTCTCAAGTCTGTGGTGAACCCAGAACATGTTTTGTTGAAGCCCTACAACAACGTTATTTTGCTTTATATAACAAATAAAGGCTCGCTGCTCATTGAAAAATCCACCGCTGTCCTGACTACAGACAACAGAGAAGCTCCTCCCACCGGCGTCAGGCGCGTCACTCGCGTCAAAAGCTTCAAGCACCAAAATGACAAAACTATCCCGGCGTCAGTTGAAGCGCGTCAAAAGCTTTTTGAAGCTTTTGGTCTGAACGCGCCTTTAGTGGCATCAGGATGGGTCAAATGCAGAGGAGGAATTTCCCTACGGGGACAATAAACTCTGTCGAAAGCCTTTTCAGCATGGAGGGAGACTATAATGTTATTTCTATTGGATATTGATGTGTGATGAATGAGATTGAACAGTCTGTGTGTTAGTTAAACCTGTTTGATCGGAGTGGATAATTGATGGGATTACTCTCTCCAGTCTATGTGCCAGTGCTTTTGAGATGAGTTTATCCACATTTATTAAAGAGATGGGTTTGTAGCTTGAGGGCTGCAGGGGGTCTTTATTAGGTTTAAGTATTACAGTGATAGAGGCAGTATTCATGTTTTGAGGGAAGGTGGAGTTTATCTGAGATTTGCAGAGCATGCAGGTGAAGAGTGGAGAGAGGATATCCCAAAAATGTTTATAAAACTCAGCAGGGAAGATATCTGGGCCAGGGGACTTGTAGTTAGGCATGTGTTTTAGTGCGGAGATAAGTTCTTTTTCATTTATTGGAGCATCAAGTTGGGAAGTCTGGGCGTCTGTCAATGCAGGAAGATCTATGGATTGTAGAAATGCATGGATATCGGGGTCTTGGATTCAGGTCTGATGAGTATAGTTGTTTATAAAAGGTTTGAAATGTTTTATTGATTTCATCTGGTAGGGACGTTGGCTTCCCTGCTGAGTTTATCATAGCAGGTATTGTTGTTTTATCCTTGTTTTTTTTCAATTGATTAGCCAGGAATTTTCCTGTTTTATTGCCATGTTTAAAAGGTTCCATTTTGTGTTTCTTCATGAGAAATTTGGTATTTTTTATCAATAATTTCATTTAATTTCGCTTTGCATTTCATCCATTCTTTTCTATAGCTTCAATTGTATTTATGATATTCAGTTTTTCAAGTCTTCGTATTTTGTTTTCTAAATCTGTTTGTTGTTCTCTTTTTTGTTTTTGTTGATTGAGAATGATATAATGAGAGATGTTAGCACCGCCTTCCCTGTCATCCACAGCACAGATGCAGAGGTCTCTGGGGAGTCATTCAGTTGTAGAAATGCTGCTCTCTCTCCTGAGGAACTGGTCAAAATCCTTGTCTGCTAGGAGAGAGGAGTTAAAGCGCCATCTGGTGAATGATTTAATTATGCTATTATGTGTTGGGTTCAGTGTTAGCGAGATTGGTGCGTGGTCACTTATTGTTATGGGATGGATTTTTGTGTCAATGACGATTGGGGGTGAGGAAGAGATGAAGTGTGTGAAAAGTTGATGGAAGAGTGCTGGGTTATCGGAGTTTGGACCATACACATTTCCCAGGGTGACTTGGTAGTAGATATTTATAATAATGTATCAGAGGTGAGACTTGAACCCATGTTGTTAAGACAGTTCTGTGTCTCGTCCTTCATCAAAGACTGCATGAATGTAGAATCTACTGAAGACACCAGGAGCGGGTCTTCACACTGAGGGAGAGTCAGACTGGGACTGGTCCTCAGGTCTAGAGACAGACTGGGACTGGTCCTCAGGTCTAGAGACAGACTGGGACTGGTCCTCAGGTCTAGAGTCAGACTGGGACTGGTCCTCAGGTCTAGAGTTCAGGTCAGACTGGGACTGGTCCTCAAGTCTAGAGTTCAGGTCAGACTGGGAATGGTCCTCAGGTCTAGAGTTCAGGTCAGACTGGGAATGGTCCTCAGGTCTAGAGTCAGACTGGGACTGGTCCTTAGGTCTAGAGTCAGACTGGGACTGGTCCTCAGGTCTAGAGTTCAGGTCAGACTGGGACTGGTCCTCAGGTCTAGAGTCAGACTGGGACTGGTACTCAGGTCCAGAGTCCAGGTCCTGATCCCATTCCAGACTTTTACTGAAAACTCCTGTCAAAACATCCATCCATCCATCCATCCATTTTCTTCCGCTTTATCCGTTGCCGGGTCGTGGGGGCAGCAGTCTAAGCAGAGACGCCCAGACTTCCCTATCCACACACACTTCCTCCAGCTCGTCCGGGGGGACCCCAAGGCGTTCCCAGGCCAGCTGAGAGACATAGTCCCTCCAGCGTGTCCTGGGTCTTCCCCGGGGCCTCCTCCCGGTGGGACGTGCCCGGAACACCTCCCCAGGGAGGCGTCCAGGAGGCATCTGGAACAGATGACCGAGCCACCTCAACTGGTTCCTCTCGACGTAGAGAAGCAGCGGGTCTACTCCGAGCTCCTCCCGTGTGACTGAGCTCCTCACCCTATCTCTAAGGGAGCGCCCAGCCACTCTGCGGAGGAAGCTAATTTCGACCGCTTGTATTCGCGATCTCGTTCTTTCGGTCATTACCCAAAGCTCATGACCATAGGTGAGGGAGGGAACGACGATTGACCGGTAAATCGAAAGCTTTGCCTTTCGGCTCAGCTCCCTCTTTACCACAACGGTCCGATACAGCGACCACATCACTGCGCACGCTGCACCGATCCGCCTGTCAATCTCACGCTCCATTCTTCCCTCACTCGTGAACAAGACCCCGAGATACTTGAACTCCTCCACTTGAGGAAGGACCTCTCCACCCACCTGTAGAGGGCAAGGCACCTTTTTCCGGTCGAGCACCATGGCCTCAGATTTGGAGGTGCTGATTCTCATCCCCGCCGCTTCACACTCGGCTGCAAACCGTCCCAGTGCATGTTGCAGGTCCTGGTTCGTTGGAGCCAACAGGACAACATCGTCTGCAAACAGCAGAGATGAAATCCTGTGGTCCCCGAACCGGACCCCCTCCGACCCCTGGCTGCGCCTAGAAATTCTATTCATAAATACAGTGAACAGAACCGGTGACAAAGGGCAGCCCTGGCGGAGGCCAACATTCACCGGGAACAGGTCTGACTTACTGCCGGCAATGCGCACGCAGCTCTGGCTCCGGTCATACAGGGACCGGACAGCCCTCAGCAGAGGACCCCGGACCCTGTACTCACGGAGGACCCCCCAAAGGACACCCCGGGGAACACGGTCGAACGCCTTCTCCAAATCCACAAAGCACATGTGGACAGGTTTTGCGAACTCCCATGAACCCTCGAGTATCCGATGGAGAGTATAGAGCTGGTCCAGTGTTCCGCGACCGGGACAAAAACCACACTGCTCCTCCTGAATCCGAGATTCGACCATCGGCCGTAGCCTCCTCTCCGGTACCTTGGAGTAGACCTTACCGGGGAGGCTGAGGAGTGTGATCCCACGATAATTGGAACACACCCTCCGGTCGGACTGGGACTGGTCCTCAGGTCTAGAGTTCAGGTCAGACTGGGACTGGTCCTCAGGTCTAGAGTTCAGGTCAGACTGGGAATGGTCCTCAGGTCTAGAGTCAGACTGGGACTGGTCCTCAGGTCTAGAGTCAGACTGGGACTGGTCCTCAGGTCTAGAGTCCAGGTCAGACTGGGACTGGTCCTCAGGTCTAGAGTCAGACCAGGACTGGTCCTCAGGTCTAGAGTCAGACTGGGACTGGTCCTCAGGTCTACAGTCCAGGTCAGACCGGGACTGGTCCTCAGGTCTAGAGTCAGACTGGGACTGGTCCTCAGGTCTAGAGTCCAGGTCAGACTGGGACTGGTCTCCTGCCCTGACATGTGTGAGTTATTCTGCAGACTAACACACAAACCCTGGTGATTACAGTACCCCTGGTGGAGGTCTCTTGACGACTACAGAAAACACAAGTTTCTTTTCCTGATCCAGAAACACAACAAAGACACAACATGAAACATGTTTGTGAATGATGCAGACACATGACGCAGGCTGAAGACCAGGAGTCTCAGTGTGGACTGTGTTCTGGAGACTGGTTCAGGACCGTCTCTGGGAGAATGAATCCTGAGGCGTGTAAGAGGGAGGTCCTCCTCACAGATGAACTACATCCAGACTGGGGCCACATGAGACACTAACATTCAATCTACTTCATTCTGTGTCCGTCTCAAATGTCAAAACCAACTCTGCTTTAATCACAAACCTCAGCACAGTCTGAATGTTGCTCTGAAAACCTGCACTTAGATATTTGGACCGAGTCCTGCAGCTGTAGGACCAGAACACCAGTTTGGAATCCAATCAGAGCCAAAGGTTCAGAGACTGTTGTATCTGGTATGTTTCCTGGTTCCTTCCTGGTCCTTACATCATTTGAATGTGTTCTGGGACATTCCTATGAGGCCGATGGAGCTTCTTTACATTAGAGTTTTCTGGTCTCAGAGGGACCAGCAGAGAGAGTCCATTTAGGGGTCCCTCCGGTTTCCCGTACCACTAAAAATATACTAACAATATGCTCACTAGGTAAAATCCTCGACCACTGCTCCTGACGTAAGCCTTAGTGGCATCAGGATTGGTCAAATGCAGAGGAGGAATTTCCCTACGGGGACAATAAAGTGCACATTTACATTTTTACATTTGGTACATTCTGGTCTTCAACACATGGTACCAGTTTCCATTATGTCACCTCTCACTGGTACCAGACCCACAGTTTCTTTGTCTCTGGGTCTTTTCCATGGTCTTTCTTTGGACCAGGCTGAAGTCCAAGTCTGAGTTCTACTGTTCTGTTTTCTGTAAACCTTCTTAAACATAATCCAGAGAGAATTCTTTCAACACTTACTACTGTTTGTGCAGGAAACCTGGTCTTCTGAAGATCCAACACACAACACTGTTAGAACAGACGCAAATATCATGAAACAAAGTGACTCTGGTTCTGATTCCAGCCTCTACAACATGGACCCACGAGGACCTGGCCCCGGGTCTAAACCCAGACCTGGACCCAGACCTGGACCTGCTCCCAGCTCTCAGTCTCTGAAGAGTGACCGGTCCAAAGACTTTCCTCTAAGCTTCAGAGAAGATGGTCCTGAAGATCAGAGGTGAGACTTGAACCCATGTTGTTAAGACAGTGCTGTGTCTCGTCCTTCATCAAAGACTGTGGTTCTGTGGCACTTTGTAAATAAACAGCATGAATGTAGAATCTACTGAAGACACCAGGAGCGGGTTATTTTCCCCATTCATAGTTTCTGAACAAATAACTCCACATGGTCTACTGCCTCCTTTCATTGCTCTCTCCTGATTGTGCTTCTTCCAAACATGTACATTCAGATACAGAGTTCATCCAATCACAGTTCAGCCATAATTTGTTGCTAGGGTCAGAAATGTGCCTGAAGCCTCAGAATCAGTTCTGCTGCAGCAGAAAACAAGTGTCGATCAGACTGTTGCTTTAACCAATCAGAGTCTGAGTTGACGACACCAAGGCCTTGTAGCAGACGTACGGTAACGTCACCGTATTCCCTTTGATTGGCGTCAGAGAGCGCGCTAGCTAGAACAAGCTAACTGTGTCTGTGGCGAGCTGTACTATATTTGTGTTGATTTATGACCCACAATGGCTGAAGGAGCAGAAGAAATGGACTTGGTGGAGCGTTTATTATTGAAGCCATTTTCAAGAAAAGCTGGACATAGTTAAGAAAGCGTTGGTAACTCCGAGGCTAGAAGGGTAACCCCAGCTGTTTCATGTCCACCGCAAGAGTTCCTGGTAAAAGGAGAGGGCTGGAACTTCTACAGGAACCGTCCTCTCTCTGGTCCTCTGTGGTCCTCTCTATAGTCCTCTCTCTGGTCCTCTCTGTGGTCCTCTCTGTAGTCCTCTCTGTGGTCCTCTCTGTGGTCCTCTCTGTGGTCCTCTCTGTGGTCCTCTCTGTGGTCCTCTCTCTGGTCCTCTCTCTGGTCCTCTCTGTGGTCCTCTCTCTGGTCCTCTCTGTGGTCCTCTCTGTGGTCCTCTCTGTGGTCCTCTCCCTGGTCCTCTCTATGGTCCTCTCTGTGGTCCTCTCTGTGGTCCTCTCTGTGGTCCTCTCTCTGGTCCTCTCTATGGTCCTCTCTGTGGTCCTCTCTGGTCCTCTCTCTGGTCCTCTCTGTGGTCCTCTCTGTGGTCCTCTCTCTGGTCCTCTCTGTGGTCCTCTCTGTGGTCCTCTCTGTGGTCCTCTCTCTGGTCCTCTCTGTGGTCCTCTCTGTGGTCCTCTCTGTGGTCCTCTCTGTGGTCCTCTCTGTGGTCCTCTCTGGTCCTCTCTATGGTCCTCTCTGTGGTCCTCTCTGTGGTCCTCTCTGGTCCTCTCTCTGGTCCTCTCTGTGGTTCTCTCTGTGGTCCTCTCAGTGGTCCTCTCTGTGGTCCTCTCTATGGTCCTGTCAGTGGTCCTCTCTGTGGTCCTCTCAGTGGTCCTCTTTGTGGTCCTCTCTATGGTCCTCTCTGTGGTCCTCTCTGTGGTCCTCTCTCTGGTCCTCTCTATGGTCCTCTCTGTGGTCCTCTCTGTGGTCCTCTCTGTGATTCTCTCTGTGGTCCTCTCTGTGGTCGTCTCTGTGGTCCTCTCTATGGTCTTCTCCCTGGTCCTCTCTGTGGTCCTCTCTATGGTCCTCTCTATGGTCCTCTCTCTGATCCTCTCTGTGGTCCTCTCTGTGGTCCTCTCTGTGGTCCTCTCTGTGGTTCTCTCTGTGGTCCTCTCAGTGGTCCTCTCTGTGGTCCTCTCTATGGTTCTCTCAGTGGTCCTCTCTGTGGTCCGCTCAGTGGTCCTCTCTCTGGTCCTCTCTATGGTCCTCTCTGTGGTCCTCTTTGTGGTCCTCTCTCTGGTCCTCTCTATGGTCCTTTCTGTGGTCCTCTCTATGGTCCTCTCTCTGGTCCTCTCTATGGTCCTCTCTGTGGTCCTCTTTGTGGTCCTCTCTCTGGTCCTCTCTATGGTCCTCTCTGTGGTCCTCTCTGTGGCCCTCTCTGTGGTCCTCTCAGTGGTCCTCTCTCTGGTCCTCTCTCTGGTCCTCTCTATGGTCCTCTCTGTGGTCCTCTCTGGGTCCTCTCTCTGGTCCTCTCTGTGGTCCTCCCTGTGGTCCTCTCAGTGGTCCTCTCAGCGGTCTTCTCTGTGGTCCTCTCAGCGGTCTTCTCTGTGGTCCTCTCTGTGGTCCTCTCTGTGGTCTTCTCTGTGGTCCTCTCTGTGGTCCTCTCAGTGGTCCTCTCTGTGGTCCTCTCTGTGGTCCTCTTAGTGGTCCTCTATGTGGTTTTCTCTGTGATCCTCTCAGCGGTCTTCTCTGTGGTCCTCTCTGTGGTCCTCTCAGCGGTCTTCTCTGTGGTCCTCTCTGTGGTCCTCTCAGCGGTCTTCTCTGTGGTCCTCTCAGTGGTCCTCTCTGTGGTCCTCTCTGTGGTTCTCTCTGTGATCCTCTCAGCGGTCCTCTCTATGGTCCTCTCTGTGGTCCTCTCAGTGGTCCTTTCTGTGGTCCTCTCTATGGTCCTCTCTCTGGTCCTCTCTATGGTCCTCTCAGTGGTCCTCTCTGTGGTCCACTCTATGGTCCTTTCAGTGGTCCTCTCAGTGGTCCTCTCAGTGGTCCTCTCAGTGGTCCTCTCAGTGGTCCTCTCAGTGGTCCTCTCTGTGGTCCTCTCTGTGGTCCTCTCAGTGGTCCTCTCTGTGGTCCACTCTATGGTCCTTTCAGTGGTCCTCTCAGTGGTCCTCTCTGTGGTCCTCTCAGTGTCTCCACTGCAGAGCACGACCCTCGGCGACCTCATGAGTTTCGATCGTTGTATAATCAATAATTATTTATTTTACGGTCTGTACCGCTGCAGTTGTTGTAGTCTTTGAGTTTTTTACAGCATTGTTTCTGAGTGTGAGCCTGTTCTAGCTTTAGCCAATAGGCGCCGTGTTAACCTCAAGCCCCAGGAGCTGTTCAGGGCCTAACGGAGCATGGAGGAGGGACTCTGTTGGTTCCATAAAAGTTCCTGTAAATCGCCCTGTGGAGAAAGTTCCTGCAGTGGAGACACCGACGGGGCTGGCCCTGGACAATTACCCCGAAGTTCCTGCGGTGGAAACGCAGCTTTAGTGCTATGACCCTTTTGGAGATGATCTTGATTTTCATAAATAATGTTGTGCTTTGATGAGGTCATTAGTGATACTTTGTTTGTGTGTTGCAGCTGTAGCTGCAGTTTGTAACTCTTCTCTTCACCAGTGGTGAAATAGGCTCCTGCCGATTTGGGCTGGTCTGGTCCAGTCTGAGTCGGGCTGCATTATTGTACGTGGATCATTGATATCACGTTTAATACTGATTGAGTAACGCTGGCTATGTGTGGGAGGATCATGTTTAATCGTTCTTATTGACCAATCAGAATGCACGATCTTATTGACCAATCAGATTGCATGGTCGGATCTACTTCGTGATAAATAATTATAAAGCAGTTATTGAGAGATGGATTAATTCAGACGAGCACTGAAGGCCTAGGTGTGAAATGCTCGGAGCGCCACTGGTTTCTAAGAAAAATGTCACGTGGGTGAAAAACAAATGAGGCCCAAAAGGCAAAAACTGCAAAATGATGGATTTAATGAAAGTAATACAAATCAAGACCTACCAAAAACACAGGGAACGGACAGAACTAAAACAGACTAGGAATGACAATGACGGAACAGGGAGTGAAGGAACACACAGGGATAAATACAAGACTAACGAGACACAGGTGAGACAGATGAGGGCAGGGCAGGTAATCAGACAACAGGAAGTACCAAAGAAGACACAGGGATAACACATTTCAAAATAAAACAGGAAATAAACTTAAACCATGACAAAAAAGACCGAAAAGTGAATAATCTGAAGCTGAGCTTATTTTGCCTTCCTCTTTTCTAAAACCATGTGTTTATACACTGAGAACCACAAAGAGCATTATTTCATTTCATTTTTCATTTCATTTTCAACCCCTTTGTCCATGTCTGGATCAGGGGGGTGGCAATGAGAGCTGCCACCCAATGCTCATAGCACCAGCCCCATTGTTCTTTTTATAAAATAAAAATACTGCAAAATCTGCAGTATTGCCTCTCGCCGTCACCACCCCACCACAATGGATGGATGGATGGTTTTGTTTTTGGCCTTTATATTTATATATTTATTTTATTGTTTATTTGGCTGTCCCAAGGCAGGTGAGAGAGTGTGGATAGTGTTTTGGTCCGAAATGAGATGAGGTTCGAGGCCTGTGGGACCCTCTTTTTAGCAGGATTATGTCATTATGAGTCGAATAAGTGGCAACGGCAACAAGATAAATGTGTTTGTTGTGGATCAGATGGAACAGTTGCAGACGCTGGTTTCAAAGCCTTCTCTCTGGAGCCGCTTTCAGAGCCTGGATTGGCTTCATGTGGAAGACTGAACGAGACAGAATATATGTGCAGATCTGAGATCAGCTCCGTGTGAACGTGGCCAAAGAGCTTTCTGACAGATCTGTTGAAGCTCACTCACATTTGTTAGGGCACTTTTTATCAACACATGTTGACACCAAGACCACAATGCAACAGGAGAAAGTGATGATGATGAGGTGAAGAAGCCCAGGGCCTGTAGAGCCAGAAGGCAACACTTCAGAGTCACCACAAACGTACAACTTCATCTGTGGCAAAATGTCTGGTGTCTCTGGTGCTGAAGCTGGGAGTCCCAGGTTTAGTGCTGTGTAGAAGCTCTTTATAGAAACAGTCCTTTTCTCTCCTGTTTGAGTCTGTGTTCTTCTATTGTGCACACTAAATAAATGCTGAGTGTGTTTCACAGGGATCCAGGTCCAAAGGAGCCGCTGGACGCCATCTTGAGGGTGAGTGTCCACCACCGCAGCTTGTGTGGCCTTCTCTGGCTGCTCCTCAGCGTCTCTCTGTGAACTCTTATTGTTCTGTTCCAGCGTCTGCAGGAGGACGTGGTGACTTTTGTCAAAGAGCAGCTGCAGAGGATCCAAAGGCTCCTGGCCTCAGATTACCCAGAATGCTCTGAGAGTGAGGAGGAGAGCAGAGAGGTTCTGAAGATCGCCCTGGACTTCCTGAAGAGGATGAAGCAGGATGAGCTGGTCCAGCGCCTGCAGAGCAGTAAGAACTCTCTGTGTCTGTAGCAACACAACATGTGTTTACTAGAGACACACACATTTCTGGCTCTCAGGCTCTGAACACTCACCACACATCAGTAATGGGCCCAGATTTCACCCAAATCAGAACATTCTTTTGGATCATGGAAGTTACCGACTCAGCCACAAACACATGGTGTTAACTTAAGCTCCGCCCACATGTTCTCCCTCATTTTAAAGATCAGAATGGACAGAATTCACTTGTTATAATCTAAGTATCTATATTTGACAAGTATAATTCACTTGGTGAAATGTTAGCTGTTAGCTGTTAGCCTTGTTTGTTAGCATCTTTGGCTAACGCTAATGGAGGCAAGGTCAGTTCAGTGGTCACATGGTCACAGCTGTTTGTCTTTATTCAGGAAGCACTGTTGGAGTTTGTAGAGATGAACTGAAGAAGCAGCTGCAGCAGAAGTTCAGCCGTGTGTTTGAGGGCGTGGCTAAAGCAGGAGACTCCGCCCCCCTGACCCAGATCTACACAGAGCTCTACATCACAGAGGGCGGGGCCTCAGAGGTCAACCAGGAACATGAGGTCAGACTGATGGAGAGCGCGTCCAGGAGACCAGCCGCTCCAGAGACCACCATCACCTGTGAAGACATGTTTAAGCCCCGCCCACACTCACCACAGCCAATCAGAGCGTTGCTGACGAAGGGCGTGGCCGGCGTGGGGAAGACTGTGCTGACTCAGAAGTTTAGTCTGGACTGGGCTGAAGGCAGAGCTCATCAGGACCTCCAGCTGCTGTTCCCCTTCTCCTTCAGAGAGCTCAATGTTGTGAAGGACAGAAGCTTCAGCCTGGTGGGACTCATACAGCACTTCTTCAGTCCATCCAAAGGTCTCTGCAGCTTTGAAGACCTCCAGGTGCTCCTCATCTTTGACGGTCTGGACGAGTGCAGACTTCCTCTGGACTTCAGCAGCTCTCGTGTCCTCTCAGACCCCACAGAGTCCGTCTCTCTGGACCTGCTGCTGGTGAACCTCATCAGAGGAAGCCTGCTTCCCTCCGCTCGCCTCTGGATCACCACACGCCCAGCGGCGGCCGATCAGATCCCTGCAGAGTGCGTCTCCATCGTGACAGAGGTCCGAGGCTTCACCGACCCGCAGAAGGAGCAGTACTTCAGGAAGAGGTTCAGAGACGAGCGACAGGCCACAGCGATCATCTCCCACATCAAGAGCGTCCGCAGCCTCCACATCATGTGCCACATCCCAGTCTTCTGCTGGATCCTCTCCACAGTTCTACAGAAGCTTCTGGAACAAACAGAGGAACCAGAGCTGCCCCGGACCCTCACACAGATGTACACACACTTCCTGGTGGTGCAGGCCAAAGTCCACAACATCAAGTATCAGCAGGGATAGGGGCGGAGCTTCCCTGGACTCCACAGACCAGGGAGATGGTGACGTCTCTGGGAAAACTGGCCTTTGAGCAGCTGCAGAGAGGAAACCTGATCTTCTACGACTGTGACCTGAGCGAGTGTGGGCTGGACGCTGCAGCCGCCTCAGTGTACTCCGGAGTCTTCACACAGGTCTTTAGAGAGGAGCCAGGCCTGTACCAGGACAAGGTCTACTGCTTCATCCATCTGAGTGTGCAGGAGTTTCTGGCTGCTCTTCACGTCCATCAGACCTTCTACAGCTCTGGACAGAACCTGCTGAAGACACCACAGTCCTCTGAGAAACTGCTGAAGACACCACAGTCCTCTGAGAACCTGCTGAAGACACCACAGTCCTCTGAGAACCTGCTGAAGACACCACAGTCCTCTGAGAACCTGCTGAAGACACCACAGTCCTCTGAGAACCTGTTGAAGACACCACAGTCCTCTGAGAACCTGCTGAAGACACCACAGTCCTCTGAGAACCTGCCTAAGACACCACAGTCCTCTGAGACCCTGCTGAAGACACCACAGTCCTCTGAGAAACTGCTGAAGACACCACAGTCCTCTGAGAACCCGCTGAAGACACCACAGTCCTCTGAGAACCTGCTAAAGACACCACAGTCCTCTGAGAACCTGCTGAAGACACCACAGTCCTCTGAGAACCTGCTGAAGACACCACAGTCCTCTGAGTCTGAGGGAACTTTCTACATCTGTGCTGTGGACCAGGCCTTACAGAGTCCAAACGGACACCTGGACCTGTTCCTGCGCTTCCTCCTGGGGCTGTCTCTGCCGACCAATCAGAGGCTGCTGTCAGGTCTGACTCAGACAGGCGGTGGCTCAGGGACCAATCAGGAGACAGTAAAGTACATCAAAGAGAAGCTGAATGAAAAGGGTCTGTCTGCAGAGAGAAGCATGAACCTGCTGCACTGTCTGATGGAGCTGAACGACCTCAGTCTGGTGCAGGAGATACAGAAGAACATGAGAGAAGGAAGACTCTCCTGGTTAAGATCTCCTGCTCAGTGGTCGACTCTGTCCTTCGTCTTACTGTCCTCAGACTCAGACCTGCAGGACTTTGACCTGAGGAAATACCAGGCCTCAGAGACAGCTCTCCTGGGTCTGCTGCCGGTGGTCAGAGCCTCCACCAAAGTCCTGTGAGTCCAGACTGTGTTGAAGGTCTTCTGTGGAGGGTCTAGTCTCTAATGTGTCTCTGTCCTCAGGTTGAGGGACAGTGGACTGTCCCCTCACAGCTGTGGTCCTCTGGCCTCAGTCCTCAGCTCCTCCAGTCTCACACACCTGGATCTGAGTAACAACGACCTCCAGGACTCAGGAGTGGAGCTGCTGTCTTCTGGACTGAAGAGCGCCCCCTGTGGACTGCACACTCTCAGGTGAGACTCCCATGATGCATCTGTGTCCTCTGTGTCCACATGAGTGTAACGCTGTGTGTCTTTAGTCTGTCTGGATGTCTGATCTCAGAGAGGGGCGGGGCTGCTCTGGCCTCAGCTCTAAGCCCCGCCCCCCCCCATCTGAGAGAGTTGGACCTGAGCTACAACCATCCAGGAGGTTCATCAGAGCTGCTGAAGGCTCTACAGGACGACCCACACTGCCCCCTGCAGGAACTCAGGTCTGACCCTGAAATGGACCTGATCCTGGTCTAGATCTCTGGTGCTGGTCTTGGTCCTGGGTCTTTGCCCAGGTCTTTGCCCAACAAAAATCGATAATAGAAATAGTCGACAATGAATTTCATTGTCAACTATTGTCGCCAGACGTGTTTGTGTTTTTCACAAACAATCTCTGCCGAGCGTCGCACATGCGCAAGAGCGTTTATCGAGTGGAAACGTAAACAGTAATGGCAGCGTCCGTCAGCTCCATGGATTAATTATATTAACGATCAGTTCTGCGTAGAAAAACTTCTAAAGTTTGGGAGCATTGTCGTCTGGATACGTCAAATAAAAAGTTTACTTGCAGGGTTTGCAAAGCAGACATTGCGTATCACGGCAGGACCTCGGTGATGCACGAACACTTGAAGAGAAAGCATGAGAGAGACCATGATCCCGGAGCGTGGGCGCTTTGGAGTGAATTACAGCGGTTCTGTGAAGCTGCTTTGATAACAGGGCGGCGAGCTCACGGCCAAAGTGACCAGTGACTAGACATATATATATATATATATATATATATACACAGTGGCCATAATGTGACCAGCGCAGACAGGACAGTGCGGATCTTTGTACACCCTGTGGACGTGAGAAATACAGCTGAACTATGGGATAAATACAGCTGAACTATGTGAGAAATACAGCTTAACTCTGAGAAATACAGCTGAACTCTGAGAAATACAGCTGAACTCTGAGAAATACAGCTGAACTCTGAGAAATACAGCTGAACTCTGAGAAATACAGCTGAACTCTGAGAAATACAGCTGAACTCTGAGAAATACAGCTGAACTCTGTGAAATACAGCTGAACTCTGAGAGCCTCTGGAAGTGTCCCCCGTGTCTCCTCCTGTAGCCCAGAAACTAAAACTCACTACATTAAAGTTGGGGTACCTACATTTCCTTTGGATTCATAATGCATGTTGGTAGGGCCTCAACGTAAAATAAATATTAAAATTAAAAAAACAACCACATTCAGATTCAGTTTATTAAACTATTTATTAAAAAACACATAGGAATACATTAGCAAAAGTCTCCAGTGTGCACAGACAAATACAGACATAAAACAACATTAAAAGTACGGAAATAAAACAAATAAAACAGTAAACAAATGTCACTGTGAAATCGATCGACTAAAACAGTTTCAAAACAAGTGCAAATCATTAAAGTGCTCTGTTCACACTGAAAACAGCCTGTGGATAAAAACTGTTCATGTTGTCTTGTTTTGCATAATTAAAAAAGTACCATGTTAGTCAATATTTAACTTTTTGGTCTGAGAGCTGATTTGAGTCTGAGAGCGCAAAATATTTTCCTCTACCTAAGGGGGCCCCGGCAAACAATTGAGAAGCAATGGCCTACACTGACCAAGCACTGTGCCAAACTGGTCTTAGATAAGACACTTTTTTTTCATTGAAGTTCCCGTAATCTTTCTTGTATTTGTTTTTAATTTGCCACATAATTAAAGTAACTTCGGGCTAAATATAAGAAAAATATATAATTATCCGATTAGTTGACCAATCGTTTCAATAATCTGTGACTAGTCGACTTTTAAAATAGTCGTTAGTTGCAGCCCTGGTCTCTGGTCCTGGTCCTGGTCCTGGTCCTGGTCCTGGTCCTGGTCTAAAGTGCCTTGTGTGTTGCAGGTTGGATCCTGCTGGAGAACAGTGGATGGTTCCAGGTCTGAGGAAGTGTGAGTTTCTCATTCACTTTATATAAAGTTATTTATATAAAGTTATTTATATAAAAGTTATTTATATAAAGTTATTTTTATAAAGTTATTTATATAAAGTTATTTATATAAAGTTATTTATATAAAGTTATTTATATAAAAGTTATTTATATAAAGTTATTTATATAAAGTTATCTTTACTCTGTGGTTAAAGCGTCTGGAGCTGATGTTTCTTCTTGTTTTGTGTTTTTCCTCAGATTCCTGTGAGTTTTCTCTGGATCCAAACTCGGCTCACAGAATCCTCAAACTGTCTGAGGACAAACGGACAGTGACCAGAGGGACAGAGGAGCAGCAGTGTCCAGGGCATCAGGACAGATTTACAGACCAGCCACAGGTCCTGAGCAGCACTGGCCTGAGGGGGCGCTGTTACTGGGAGGTGGACTGGACCAGGGGGAGGTGGGAGGAGGTAGAGGACATTGAGATCGCAGTGAGTCACAGAGGAATCAGACGCAGCGGGACGAGAGAAGAGAGTGGGTTTGGAACCAATGATCAGTCCTGGAGTCTGAGGGTCTATAAGGGACGTTACTGTTTATATCACAAAAACGAACGAACAGCCTCCTCCTCCTCCTCCTCCTCCTCCTCCTACTCCTCCTCTCTCTCAGGTCGAGTGTCTGTGTTCCTGGACTCTGAGGCTGGATCTCTGTCCTTCTATAAGGCGGTCTCTGATGGAGAACTGTTCCACCTCCACACCTTCACCTCCTCCTTCTCTGAGCCTGTGTTTCCTGGGTTTAGACTGTGGTCTGAAGGTTCCTCGGTGTCTGTGGTGGATCTGAGGAGAGCGCCCCCTGCTGGACAATACAATACTTCTTCTTAACTCGCTGTAATGTCTTCATAAAAGACATTACAGCAAAAAAGACATACATATATATATATATATATATATATATATACAGTGTCTTGCGAAAGTATTCGGCCCCCTTGAACCTTTCCACATTTCGCCACATTTCAGGATTCAAACATAAAGATATAAAATTTAATTTTTTTGTCATGAATCAACAACAAGTGGGACACAATCGTGAAGCGGAACGAAATTTATTGGATAATTTAAACTTTTTTAACAAATCAAAAACTGAAAAGTGGGGCGTGCAATATTATTCGGCCCCTTTACTTTCAGTGCAGCAAACCCACTCCAGAAGTTCAGTGAGGATCTTTGAATGATCCAATGTTGTCCTAAATGACTGATGATGATAAATAGAATGCTCCTGTGTGTAATCAAGTCTCCGTATAAATGCACCTGCTCTTTGATAGTCTCAGGGTTCTGTTTAAAGCACAGAGAGAACCATGAAGACAAAGGAACACACCAGGCAGGTCCGAGATACTGTTGTGGAGAAGTTTAAAGCCGGATTTGGATACAAAAAGATTTCCCAAGCTTTAAACATCTCAAGGAGCACTGTGCAAGCAATTATATTGAAATGGAAGGAGTATCAGACCACTGCAAATCTACCAAGACCCGGCCGTCCCTCCAAACTTTCATCTCAAACAAGGAAAAGACTGATCAGAGATGCAGCCAAGAGGCCCATGATCACTCTGGATGAACTGCAGATAACTACAGCTGAGGTGGGGATGGTGTGTTCAGGGTGATGAGCTGTGTTGCTTTTACGCCAAACATATCGTTTTGCATTGTGGCCAAAAAGTTCGATTTTGGTTTCATCTGACCAGAGCACCTTCTTCCACATGTTTGGTGTGTCTCCCAGGTGGCTTGTGGCAAACTTTAAGAGACTTTTATTGGATATCTTTGAGAAATGGCCACTCTTCCATAAAGGCCAGATTTGTGCAGTGCACGACTGATTGTTGTCCTATGGACAGACTCTCCCACCTCAGCTGTAGTTATCTGCAGTTCATCCAGAGTGATCATGGGCCTCTTGGCTGCATCTCTGATCAGTCTTCTCCTTGTTTGAGATGAAAGTTTGGGGGGACGGCCGGGTCTTGGTAGATTTGCAGTGGTCTGATCCTCCTTCCATTTCAATATAGTTGCTTTCACAGTGCTCCTTGAGATGTTTAACGCTTGGGAAATCTTTTTGTATCCAAATCCGGCTTTAAACTTCTCCACAACAGTATCTCGGACCTGCCTGGTGTGTTCCTTTGTCTTCATGGTTCTCTCTGTGCTTTAAACAGAACCCTGAGACTATCAAAGAGCAGGTGCATTTATACGGAGACTTGATTACACACAGGAGCATTCTATTTATCATCATCAGTCATTTAGGACAACATTGGATCATTCAAAGATCCTCACTGAACTTCTGGACTGAGTTTGCTGCACTGAAAGTAAAGGGGCCGAATAATATTGCACGCCCCACTTTTCAGTTTTTTATTTGTTAAAAAAGTTTAAATTATCCAATAAATTTCGTTCCACTTCACGATTGTGTCCCACTTGTTGTTGATTCATGACAAAAAATAATTTGTTTATATCTTTATGTTTGAAGCCTGAAATGTGGCGAAATGTTGAAAGGTTGAATGGGGGCTGAATACTTTGGCAAGGCACTGTATATATATATATAATAAATATATATATATATATATATATATATATATATATATATATATATGTATGTATATATATATATATATATATATATATATATATATATATATATATATATATATATATATATATATATATATATATATATATGTCTAGTTTAGCACTGACTGAGTCAGTCTTCAACCTCCTGCAGAGCTGCTGGCTCCTCCTGGTCCTGACCATGTGACTGCTCCTGATCCGATTCCAAATATATATATATATAGAACTGGACGAAGACAACACTAGGACAGGATAAGACCAGGACAAGACCAGAACCCGGAAGAAGAACAGGAGAGACCAGGAGAGGACCAGGAGAGACCAGGACAGGACCAGGAGAGACCAGGACGTCAGTGTCTGTGGCTACAGCAGTGGTACTGACCCGAACCCAAACCACTGCATCATCATTATTTTCATATTAAAAACATTTTGTGAGTCTTGGATTATTTCTGCAACACACACAGGTCACTTATGGAACTACATTAGAGTCTGACAGGTGTAGACTGTACGTGTCTTTGGTGTGGGACTAAAATGGATAAATGATACAAACAATAAACATTTCACATTCACTGATGGTTCCAGATCTCACACCATCAATACTTTGGCTCCAGGTCCCTGTACACACCAGAACAAAGCTCACTCTGTTATAGAAATCTGAATAAACATGAAATACTAACATGAATAAGGGTGTAATAAGGTGTAACAGTGTAATAACTTTATGTTTGTGATGTGTTTGATCTTTTTACTGTTGTGTATCTTTTGTTTATGGTGCAGTCACTCACAATGTCTTCAACTGTTGTACCATTTATAGTCATTTATGTTTTGAATGTTCTGTGATGACTAAACATCTAGGATCTTATGAAGTGTGCCATACAAATAAAGCTGGCTAACATCAAAGGCCTAAATGTCCGTCTGAACACACCACACAACACCACGTCTCCCAGATAACTCTTTATTCTTCATTATCATTTCAAAACAAACGTGGTACACTGGTGTGTGATGTCACATGGTCATTCAGCACACACACACACACATGGTGTTCAAAGCTCTTTTCTATGGGACAGTCACCCACACAACACTGAAATGGTTCATCAGCGACGGGGAGCGAGGGGAGGGGTCGGGGGTCATAGCACGCCGATACATTGTACCAAACACCAATTATTTCACTTGTATTTCTGCACTCACACTCAGCGCTTGAGGCCGCTCCATTCCAACCCAGGCCAGTCTATTTACAACGGAACTTCATTCATAAAATATTGCACTTGTTGGCCCTTTGCATCTCCCAGCGAGCGCCGAGAGAATGCTGCTAAATGTTTCTACATAGATGTATATATATGTACATTATTTGGATAGAATCTACATTAGAATGGGTTTACTCATGCTTTTCTTTTTCTTAGTCATAAACTATGCCACGGACAACGGTGTGGAAGGAGAAGAGACATGTTTGGCACCACTTTTATTTTCCATGGAGGAAAGAATAGGTTTTTGAAGGATAGATTGGTCTAGAAGAGGGTTAGTTACGAGTTTAGGTCGACAAAGGCCAGAGGGAATTCCAACGCACCATGTTGTCACACTTTTCTTCCATATTATTGATATTTTGACCCATTAACTTCTACATTTGTGACTATCCCAGTCTGCTTCGAGTATCTCTGTCATGTGCTGTAGCTATAGACTAAAACTGGCCGTGGGCTCGCCTCTCCGGGGATCTGGCGTGTAACGAAGCCCGCTGACATCACCAGTCTCCGGTCAGAGATCAGCAGAAACTATTTAGCAAAGCAACGGAACCATTTCAACCAAATTCATAATGTTCCAAAGGCTGTATGTAGAATGTGCTAGCTTAGTAATGGTTTGTGTCACACTCTCCTTTTTGGGCGAAAATGGTGAACTATATTGTAATGTTGTCTTTTTAAATCCAAATATGTATCCAGTAAATTACCAATCAGGGCTAGAGCTTGTGGATCACAAAAACTGGAACTGATTTGCTTTTTGGGCTCCAGATTTCCACTTCATGAAGCCTGTTCGAGTTCGCTCTAATGGGTTTCTTCTCGGACAGAGTTTACTTTGAAAATAAATGTTGTGGTTGTTTTGATCGTATTGGGGTTCGTCTCTTGGGTGTAACATATTGGGGTCGTCTTTTGGGTGTAACATATTGAGGCTCGTCTCTTGGGTGTAACATATTGGGCTCGTCTCTTGGGTGTAACATATTGGGGCTCGTCTCTTGGGTGTAACATATTGGGGCTCGTCTCTTGGGTGTAACATATTGGGGCTCGTCTCTTGGGTGTAACATATTGGGGCTCGTCTCTTGGGTGTAACATATTGAGGCTCGTCTCTTGGGTGTAACATATTGGGGCTCGTCTCTTGGGTGTAACATATTGGGGCTCGTCTCTTGGGTGTAACATATTGGGGCTCGTCTCTTGGGTGTAACATATTGAGGCTCGTCTCTTGGGTGTAACATATTGAGGCTCGTCTCTTGGGTGTAACATATTGGGGCTCGTCTCTTGGTTGATTCAGTTTGAGGTGAGTTTTTAGGGAAGGGCTGTTTTAGTGTTTTTTATTTTTTTTAAACAATAATTTATCTCTTTTTTCACAAAACAACACAATACAATACAGCCAGCACAGCATGTTTACATATGTTCATAAGGTCAGGTAAATAATAATAATATCAAATCAGAACACTTTCTTCTGATCATTGATTAAATTATAAAACAAAATGTGAGCCTCCTTTACAAAGTAAAGTCGATAAGTCCCGAGGTAGATGTTCCAAGAAAGTTTGCCATATCTTGTAAAAAAAGAAGGAGTTTCCCTTTGAGAGGGCACTTCATTTCATTGACGTTTCATTGGAAACACTGTAAACGTTTCCCTGAACCATTGTGTGACAGACGGAGCTTTTGTCTGTATCCATTGTAGCAGGATGCATCTCCGCGCCAGATGTAAAAGTTTTGGTAAGAGTGCCCCCTGCCCGGGCAGCACAGGAAGCCTCTCAGATATACCCAAAAGAAAGAAGGCACTGAGATGGTGAAATATGGACCGGAGCACAGTAGCAACGTTCTTCCATCAGGGCACTGTGGCTTAGTTGTGTGTCTTAGTTGTGTGTCTTAGTTGTGTGTCTTAGTTGTGTGTCTTAGTTGTGTGTCTTAGTTGTGTGTCTTAGTTGTGTGTCTCAGTGACGTGCAGTCAGGGGAGGCAGAGCCTCACCTGCCATCATTGAAAAAATAATTATTACAGTTTTTTCCTGTTGCTTGAACACTATAGACATACGCTTAGACCAAAGTTGCAGAACTTGAAGCTTTTGTTCT